ATTCAATATACGACTTTTAACAATTTTACCACAAACGATTTTTTCTATCGACTTACAAAATCACCAGTTGCCCCTGTAGAACCGATCGATTCCATCCACATCATCACATACATGCCGCAATCATATCTGTTACAAAATTTGAAAACCACACATGTCAATTATGATGAATACTGCATAAATTAAGCTTTCTATTTGTGATAACATCTCATACCCATTCAATTGCTTATTCTTCTTATGCTCCACAAATTTGAAATTTTTCAAGGGATACTTTCCTAGAGATCCACAGGACTCAACCCAAATACGTTTCTTATTATAAGAATCTAATATTTTAATCTGCATTAAAATAGAAGAAGTTATGCACCAAAAAAATTATGCATTATAATTTACATAATGTCCTTTCATACATACATACATACCAATCTATTAGCATCCTTCACTCTCTGTTTAGCTGCTTCAGTTGTAAACATACTATCATATATTGTTACAACATGATCTACCATATCCAACACCAACAGATACCAATGTGAATTATGGTAGTTTATTGTGATCATGATCTGCAACAAATTTCACACCTAATTTGACAAAATTCAACATTCTATATCCGAAAACATCATTTGCAATTGGTATGGTGTCTTACCTTCTCACAGTCGGTGAATTTCACATAGTTATCCAATATGACACCCCAGAAGGTAGAAATACTCTCAACACTTTCTTTGTTGTTGGCTTCCAACGCCTGTTGCTGTAATTACGCAACAAACATTATTAATTTACCGTCTATAACACTACTTTTCAATATTTATTAATTTAACTCACCACTAAGAGGTATGGAAGGTAGCCAATCCTCCGGAGTGACTTTTGAGAATCGTAGCATATGGTCCAGGCGAGCAAATCGATAACCTAACAAAATTAATTACACAATCAGAACATATTCAATAAGTTTTAACATTTTCTACTTTCTACTTACCACACCGCCAACCCATTCCGTAGGCTTCAACGTTGCAACGTCGTATACAGTAGCGAATTGATTTCCCATTGATATTACAGAATATCTGTATGAATCATTAGGATTAATATGTTGTCATGAAATATTTAAATATCACTAACAAAACAATATATTTCACTTACCCCGATTCTAACTCGCTATTCCATAAATAATCACAAATTGCAGCTTCGATGTCATCAATTCCGCTTGGAATATCCGCTTTTTCAACCTACAATTTTGCATACAAATTTTTGTCACAACAACATAATAAAAATCAAATTAAGTATTCTTTTATTAAACTTACCTTCTGCTTCTTCTTCTGGGGTGCAGGACATTCCGAATCCAAAACTGCTGCTATAACACTCTCCGGTGTATAAATGACATCGACTTCCTTCCTCCTCATTTCTTCCATCTCTTCTTCTTCCTCCTCCCTCTTTTCTTCTTCATATTTTTTCAGTTCATCGTACTTTTTTTCTACATAGCTCTTCATCTCTTTTATTTCACCCTTCAATTGAGCTCCTTCATCCGAGTATTTATCAACCACCCCCTTCACCCCCGTAAGTTCAATCCTCAAATCCACAACCTCCTTCACCACTCCCTCAAATTTTTCTCCCGTCACCATCTTAATATCACCCCTTAACACCCCAACTTCTTTCACCACTTCACCCCTCAACACCTCTACTTCTTTCACCACTCCATCTATTTTTCCTTCCACTACCCCCTTATGCCTCTCGAGTGTATCTTCGACTCTCTCGAGTTTCTCTACGACTTGATCAAGTTTCTCTTCGACTCTTGATTGTCTTTGCATGATTTCAAATTGGATTTTTTTGATATCAGCCAATTCAGACATCAAAATGTCGAAGTTACTCTGTTTTGCTTCACCGTCGTCCCACTCACCGTCATCCCCCAATACAACCATCCCTCCTTTCTTCTCCTCTGCCTCCACTGCCTCCTCTACATCCTTGCCAATAACCTTCAAAATTAAATTACAATAGTAAGACATTGATTATATTCTTAATATTATTTAATTACATTTATTACCATTTCTTGCTTCTTCCCTCTATCCAACTTCAACTTCACCATCACTCTAACCACCTCTTCCTTCCCCCATGCACGGATGCGTGCCACTCCGGTTCTTTCATAAGTCGGCACTGCCTCACAGCCCGACCAAAAATCGAACAGTGCAACCTGCATTTATAATAAAATTTATATTTTTATATAAAAACACAAAAAAGTGATTCAACTCATTTACCTCTAAGATTGCTATGCACCCTTTGAGGTATCTCTGGCTGCCCTTTTTAAAGGTGATGATTGATTCAATCAATCTCGAATGGATATATTCAGCCCAATTGAATTCACCCTTCAAGCCTTCATCGCAAATGAGCTTCATATTCCTTGTTCGTTGACGTATCACCCGTTGGACAAAGAAATATCCCGACAAGGTACAATAGAACTCGGGCCTTCAGCTCATCCCCCCAGTAAGATCCACTTTTGATATCCTCTTCAACTTCAGCATATGTCACCTTATGATTCAAACCATATTTGGAGGCAAGTGCTTTCCAGTTCTTACTCCTACAGACTTCTATAACACTTTTGCCTTTGTTTTGTACCCCCAATACGGCTGCAGCAGTCGATACCCCCAGAGGGAATGAATAATCACCATACTTAGCCATACATTGACTGACGTCAAATTGTGCCATCAAGGATCGACACAATTTCCTCCGAATAGGTCGATCCCTTACTCCGATCAACGATCCAAAACCTATTTCTCCCAGCACATTCAACTGACCCTTCTCCTTAAGGTGTTTAATTAATAAATTCACCCTTTTAATGCTGCATCTTGTCGACACTTCCTACATTTTTTAACAATATATAATGTTATAGTTCTTATATATTTTGTATCAACGTATTTACAAGTTTAATGAATACCTTATTTTCATGTGCTTTCCTCCGTTCTTTGTATTCTTTACTATCATTCCTTGACTGTGTGATGTAAGGTTCCTTTTCAGCATCACTCATTGAATTCCATTTGGACCTCACATCTTTTTTCACCTAATATTAAACATAAACGTTTCTTAATCAATACATTAACACTAAATACTAATACTACTCAATGTCAATTTCATTTTACATACCGAACCGCTCTGTGTGCCATCTCCCTTCATCCTTTTGCATTCGGCCATACTGTTAACATTTAAAATTTGTAATCAATTTAAAGTTTATCGATACTTTAATCCAATTACCATTTCAACAATAATAACAAAAAGACATTGATACTTACTAGAAGTATATATATCCACCCTTTGGTTGCTTTCGAGTCTCGGCCTCAATTTCAAAGTCATCTGCTCCACCAACAATTTTCCAACCCATTGACTCCATTTTTCCTTCATATATCAGTTTACGCAAATCAAATTATTTTGTTACATACACTTTTCAATATACAAATATAGATAACTACTCTTGTGGTAAAACGGTTTTCTTCAAAAGAATTTGAATGGCCACACCAAAATGTGTCGGCACATTTATACAACCTATAATATCATTTTCTACCTATAATATTTAATAAAAATATCGACATTTATATTTTTCCTTGAATATCTATTTCTACCTGCAATCGGTCCCAAATGCTTCCTTACTCCAAAACCTCAAACAACACATAAAAAACCCTACGCGATTACTGTAATAATTAAAAATTAGGGTTTCGACAACATACTTTTCGATTCGACTGCAGCAACAACAACAAACTTCGCTTTAGAAACGCCTTCTGAAATGCAGCAACAATTACTCTTCGATTTCAAAAACTCGTCCGTTCTATCTTTTTCAGAGGATTTTATCTATGGCCTTTATATTTTCATCGGATATGTTATTTATATTTAATCGATACAAATACAAAAGTGTCGATATTTTTATGTCAGGTGTCGATACTTTCGAAAGGATAATTACCTATTTCTTTGAAAGTGTCGATAATTTATTACACGTACTTACGAAAGTATCGACACTTTCAATATATCCGGTATCATTTTACCGGTTTTATCATTTTGATACCGGTTTTATCATATTTTTACCTGTTATATCGTTGTGGATCGATATATTTTTTTAAAGTATCGACACATTATAGGCGCTATAACTGATTCTCTTTTAAATTCACAAAGTGTCGATCCTTATATAACGTATCGACACTTTTAAATTTACCGGTTTTATCATTTTGTTACCGGTTTTATCATATTTTTACCTGGTATATCGTTTTGGATCGATATATTTTTTAAAATTATCGACACTTTTTAGGATTTATAACTGCTTTTAAAGTTATGTAATTTATGTTTCAATTTATTTAATAGTGTTTCATGTTTTCCACCTACAATATTAATTTAATAATTTAATTTACACAAAATTTTATTTGATTGTTTTGATATTTTATAAAATATTATTTAGAATTTAAATTTAACAATATTAACCAAATAATAATAAATATGTTTTCAACAGTGAAATAAGTATGGACACTTTTATAAAAATGATATACTTTTTGAAAGTTATGTATTTATGTTTCAATTTTTTTTAATAGTGTTTCATGTTTTCCAACTACAATATTAATTTAATAATTTCATTTACACAAAAAATTATTTGATTGTTTTGATATTTTATAAAATATTATTTAGATTTTAAATTTAACAATATTAACTAAAGATAATAATAAATATATTTTCACAGTGAAATAAGTATGGACACTTTTATAAAAAGGATAGATAATTTACAATATAACAGGTAAAAATATGACAAAACCAGATTCATTATGACAAAACCGGTAAAATTTACTTGATATGTTAAAAGTATGGACACTTTTATAAAAGGATAGATACTTACCGATAACCAAAGTTTACCGGTTACCAAATTTTTAATAGTTTTTCATATTTTCTACCTAAAACATTATTAGTTGTCAACATAATAGGTACCGCTAAACCGAATTTATTAAATACATTTTAATGTATCCGGTAATGCTATATATTAGCCGTATATTAACCCGTCACATTCCCGCAGCGAAGAGGAAGCTTGTCAGAGCCATTCAGATGTCAGCTTTGCTTTCCTCCCTCTCTCTTCCTACTATTTCACTGCATACGAAAAGGCAGAAATATCATTCACAATGAAATGATGAGTCTCCTCGAGTAGAAAGACCAGTGTTACCTAATTCGCCCCCACCCCTACCAATCTCGTTTCAATTCGTCCGTGTTCCAATTCGGTAAAGAACGCGTATTGGAACGATAAAAAAACAAAGTTAATAATAAAGAGAAAAGAGTATCAAGATTCTAACACCACATTCAATATATATACTAACCTTGAGAATAAATATTTTTTAAACTGTCATTAAATAGAATTGGAAATAAGAAAAATCTGAGTTGTACCAAAGCTTTTATGAGAATAAAAGATTCCTAAGCAAACGCTGAGAATATTTCCAAGAAACTTATCGTAGAATGGACGTGAAAAAGTACCCGTTCGATAAGAGTAATGTGATTCGATGACATTTGAACGAAAATTGAAACTTAATTCTAATCTTACTTGTTTTTTTTTTGTGCAATTTATAATTCAAAATAATTAACCAACGTTCGATAAAAATTGATCATATTTTTATTTTAATTCGAATTTAAAATATCCAGTATTACAACAACAGATAAGCAACAATGTATCAATTTTAAATGTTGTAGGTGCTCACCCTTCTCCCGACTCATGAACTCTTAAAATAAAATTTTTTTTTGGTAACGTTTTACCTTTTTTTATCTTTAAAATAAGTTTTTTAATTATTTTAAATAATATTTTTAAATATTCCACTTACTCAACCAAAAGTCACCTACTTCAATTCAAATTAAATTTCAAATTCATCGAAAACCCCAAATTTTCAAAAATTAATTCATAATTGATTTTTAATTAGAATTTTTCGTTTAAAATCGTGATGACAAGTCTTTTATATACAATTATTAACAGTATCAGAAATATTGAGCAAGTAGTTAATAAACGAACCGGAGCATTTCAGTGAGAGTGGCCGCGGTACTCAAGTCGTCGGCTTCCCTTGCTTTGAGGATGCGAAACATAAGAGCAAGTTTAACCTGAGTCCTCGCACTTTGTTGAATTACGAGTCTAGTTTCCCTCTTCAATTCCTCGCACTCCGACTCAACCATCTCAAAATTTTTTTTAACTTGTCTTTGCCCTTCCCTTATGCTCTTTTGCTCCTCGCTTATCTCCTCCATTTCTGATTTCAACCTTTTGAAGCTTTTCTCCATGTTCTTCATCCCCTGATCACCATATCAGTTATATAATTGTAAACTGAAATCTGAATCTGCAGCAGGAAGTATAATTACCTGCTTAGCCTTTGGTTTGAAACGTTTATTGCTCAGCGCGGAAGTCTGGAGACAGCAACGTAAAGAAAGGAGCCATTGCTACAGGTGCAAAGGGTTTCCTCATACACTAAAGATAGATTGATTTACTGAAATATTTCTCTCGTATAGTTATTATATACTTAATATGATTAGGTTGTTCAGACTCGCGTCATCGCGCGAGATCGCTCGATGAAGAACCAGAGTCGCGCGACTTTAGCCTTTTAGTAAAATATGTTAAATGTGCTGTTGTTTGATTGATTGTTGCTTCCTCCGCCTACTTGAAGGTGGACCCCTTTTAGATTCGAAAGTCTAAACTATTCAGTTGAATTGGGACAATAAATAAATATAATATAAAAGTATATTAAATGAATTAATTTTGGCGATGGTAATATTTGAGTTATAATAGTTATAAATAGTTTATTTATTCTGATTTGAAGAAATGATTTAATGACGATATATTAGCTTATTTATAAAAAAAATATTTGATGTCTTCATAAAAGAAAAAAGAAAGAAAAAAACATATGAAAGCCCTCTCTTAATCATGCATTATGAATGTTGTAACAATCCTTAACGATGTGTTCTAGAATTATGATGATTATTTGTAATTTGATAATGTATATAGGATATGCATATTTGACAATTGAATTTTAATTTATTACACGAGTTTACCAAAAGTATATCAAAAGAAATAAATTTTCTAAAACATTAACCTGCAAAGAAATTCTTACAAAATTCTCGATATTCAAAGAAATGATAACAAAGATATTATTCATGAATAAAATTCATAAGAAATATAATAATTTTGAAAGAATTATGATAATTGGATGAAATAATATATACAAAAATCTTAATGTTTTTGTCTTTTTTTCATCTTTTTGTTGTTATGGATGACGTATTCTTTTTCTTTGATTCTTCTTTGCTTTTTGTTGTTGTCGTAATCGTTCTTTGAATGAGTTTGGAATCGGGCTTCAACTAAAACAAAATATATTAAAACCATCACCGATCATTTATGTTTTTTTAAAATTAAGTTGATCGGACATCTTAATTTATCATCATACTGGATCTGTATTTTACCAGAAATATGTTAGATTCGGGAGTGATTACAGTCAAGGAATGATTAGTACCATTGTACTGCCATCGACGCAGATCTAAAATGAACTGTCTCGGATTTTACCTCTTCGGTGAGACTTTTTACTTTCCCGACGACCTTTTACCTTCCGACGAAGCTCCTCCGCGTCCTCGATGTTCTCCCACGAAATAAAGTTTTAAACTTTATTTTTCTTCACTTTCGGTTTCAAAAAGTTTGTTGTTTTTTGTTGTTGATAGAATTTTTGTTGCTCGAATGTTTTTTATTTTTGTTTACTGTTGATATTTGGCTGCTCAATTTTCTTGGTGCGTTCTTCTCGTTGCATGGCCGGAGGCTTTTATAGCCTCGTAACCGACTTTTGTGGTCCCGAATATCTCGGTGTGTTGATGATTCTTCCGGGATGGTTTAGTCTCGTTCGGCATCATTGGTGGTTGGTGCGGCCGGAAAACTCGGGATGGGTTAGTCTTGGGTTGTTCGGCCGAAAATCTCACTGGTTGCTGGGGCGTAGCCTCCACGCGTGCTACTTGCTTCCCCTCGTGCGGCGCCACTGATTAACATGAAACTCTAGTTTTTTGTTGAGCTTACCAGGTCTGTTGGCTGGGTTAGGTCTGCCTACCCCGTCAGCTAGGCCCCTTGAACTGTTGGACCTAGACCTTGACCGGAAATAAAAAAAATAAATAAATTAAAAAACATATATAATACTATAGTTTGAAAAACGTATATATATATATATATATATATATATATATATATATATATATATATATATATATATATATATAAAATAGTCTTGAAAACATATATAATATTTTTTCGAAATGGTTTGGAAAACGTATAATATATTATTTTTTAGGATGTTGAAAACGTATATTTAAAAAAAAAATTGACAACATATATACTATATAGTTGTTATTACATATTATTATTTATTTTCTTATTTTCTTATTTTTATTTTTGGTCAAGGTTCAGGTTGAGCAATCCAAAGGGCCTATCAGACAGGGCTAGGCAGGACTAACCAAGCAAACCGATAATTTAAATATAATCAAATCGGTAATATTAATAAAGTTATAAAAGTATATAATCCATATTTAATACATAATATATTAATTAAAAAATTCGAATTCAATCAATATGAATAGATTTATCTAATTTAAATATAAACCGATTTATCATTATCAATAATAATGATAATAAAATCAACTAATCATCAATGCAACATCTTAAAGATTTATCAAATCAACCTTTTATATGATAATTATATTATTCGAAAATATATTTAATTTTACTTCTTTTATGGAGTATATGGTATAGTACGTGGGATTGGAGTAAAAAAAAAGGAAAAAAGGGAATGAGTCCCTTTCGAAGGCCCAATAAAGAAAGCCACGCTTTCATTCAACATCATCAATAAAATGCACCCTTTTGTTAATACATCATACTGTTGAAAGTAAACAAAAATATGGGCGGCTGAATTATTTGGTTTGGGGCGGCTAGTGGTCAAATTTGGCCACCAAATTATTAAAAAAAATAAAGGGATAATTATAATTTAGTCTAGGTACTTAGGGTATTTATAAGATTAATTCTTAAGCTTCAACTATAAATATCCTATCCTATTTAGCTTCAAAACCATCCTAAATTGTCGTAGCATTCATGTCCATTTCGAGGCCACATTTATTAACCCTATCCTTAAGATATACACTAGGAGAACAAGAAAGTGTTGAACTTCTACTTCAAAGTCTACCTGATTCGTATGATCAACTCATCATCAACTTGACAAACAGTAATGTCACCAATCTAGTCTTCGATGACGTTGCAGTTGTTGTTCTACAAGAAAAAAATCGGCGCAAGAACAAGGAAGATAGACAAATAAATCTGCAACAAGCAGAAGTGTTGACAACGATGAGAGGGAGATCAACAGAACGTGGCCAAAGCAACAGTCACAAACATGGTAGATCGAAGTCGAGAAGCAAGAAAAATTTAAAGTGCTACAACTATGGAAAAAAAATGGTCACTTGAAGAAGGATTGTTGGAGTCTAAATAAAAACTTCAATCCACAAGGCAATACCGCAAACACTTTAGATGATAGAGATGCTCTATACTATGAAGCGTCAACCACCGTGGAAGGTAGAAAAAGATTTGCAGATATATGACTCATTGATTCGGGAGCAACATATCACATAATCTCAAGAAGAGAATGGTTCCATTAGTATAAACCTGTCTCAGGAGGATCTGTGTATAGTTGCAATGATCATGTCTTAGAGATCGTTGGCGTGGGAACCATCAAATTGAAGATGTATGATGGAGTAATTAAAGTTGTTCGAGATGTACGGTATGTGAAAGGCCTGAAGAAAAATTTATTATCCTATGGATTGTTGGATAATAATGCAAACAAGAATGAAACACAGAAATGAATCATGAAGTTGTTCCATGGAGCGCTTATGGTAATGAAAGGCGAAATATACCATCAAACTTGTACATGCTAAAGGGAGAGACTTTGCTAGAAGCAGAAGCCTCTGTTGCCTCATAGTTCAGATTCTGCAATGCTATGACATCAAAAACTTGGACATATGTCAGAACAAGGAATGAAAGTCCATGTGGAGCAAAAGCTACTTTCAGGCTTAACAAAGGTATCACTTACTTTGTGTGAGCATTGTATAACAAGTAAGCAGCACCAGTTGAAATTCAACACGACAAATTCTAGAGGAAAAAGTGTTCTAGAATTGGTTCATTCTGACGTATGGAAAGCATCAGTTACATCCCTAGGCGGAGCAAAATACTTTGTCTCATTTATTGATGACTACTCCAAGAGATGTTGGGTGTACCCTATTAAGAAAAAGTCAGATGTGTTTTCAACTTTCAAAGACTTCAAAGCGCTGGTGGAACTTGATTCTGGAAATAAGATTAAGTGTTTCAGAACAGATAATGGAGGAGAATACACAAGTGAAGAATTTGATGACTTTTGCAGGAAGAAGGCATCAAAAGATAATTCACAATGGCGAACACTCCTCAACAAAATGGAGTGGCAGAGCAGAAGAACAAAACCTTGTTAGAAAGAACAAGAGCAATGTTGAGGGCTGCAGGCCTAGAAAAATCATTTTGGGCAGAAGCAATCAATACTGCATGTTATTTGGTGAATCGAGCTCCATTAACTGCAATAGAGCTGAAGACACCAATGAAGATGTGGAATGGTAAACCAGCTGATTATTCAAACCTCCATGTGTTTGGAAGTATTGTGTACGTGATGTACAACTCCCAAGAAATTTCAAAGCTGGATCCAAAATCCAGGAAATACAAATTCTTAGGGTATGCTGATGGAGTAAAGGGGTATCGCTTGTGGGATCCCACTGCCCGCAAAGTGATCATCAGCAGGGATGTTATCTTTGTATAAGATAAACAAGAAAAAAATAAGAAGATGGTAGCACTAAAAAGTCAGAGACTACGCAGATAAATGTGGAAAAGGAGTTTGAACAATGAGATTCTTCTGAAGTAGAACTAGCACATGATGAACAAGAATCAGAGAGTTATGAAGTTTCAACAACTCGTCAATAAGATCGTGTGAGAATAAGTCCCAATTAGCACTCAGATTATGTTATAGAATGAAATATTGCATATTGCCTTTTAACAGAGGACGGTGAGCCATCAACATACCTGGAGGTAATAAACAACTCAGATTCTTCATTGTGGATGATGATAATGCAAGAAGAAATTGAAGCCATTCATAAAAATAATACATGGGACCTTGTGCCACTACCACAAGGAAGGAAGCCAATTGGTCACAAATGGGTCTTCAAGATCAAGCGAAATGGTGACAATCAAGTTTAGAGGTATCGTGCAAGACTGATGGTCAAAGGATATGCTCAAAAAAAGGTATTGATTTTAATGAAATCTTTTCTCCTGTGGCTCGACTAACAAGAGTTCGTGAAGTTTTAGCAATGTGTGTTACATTGAACTTACATCTAGAGCAACTAGATGTTAAAACATCTTTTCTTAATGGAAATCTTAAAGAAGAG